GGGAGGAGGAGAGAGGGAGAGGGGGAGGGAGCGAATTGACCGTCAGGGAGCGGGACCAAGCAATACGGGATAACGCCAGCTAGTGCTATACTAATGGTTTTAAACATTTTATTGAAAATATTTATAATGTTTGTATAACTAAATTTTTGTCCTCTAGTTAAGACTCAAAATATTTTCCATGTAAAACACCATATCCTAATTACCCTACTTCATCTTGATAGTTGTGAACTTCTAAATTCGCTACCAAAAACTCTTAGTGTCAATACGGGATAACGCCAGCTAGTGCTATACTAATGGTTTTAAACATTTTATTGAAAATATTTATAATGTTTGTATAACTAAATTTTTGTCCTCTAGTTAAGACTCAAAATATTTTCCATGTAAAACACCATATCCTAATTACCCTACTTCATCTTGATAGTTGTGAACTTCTAAATTCGCTACCAAAAACTCTTAGTGTATGTCTAGACTACATTGTTTTTTCGAAAAAACTGCCCTTTTTAAAAAAAAACGTCAACTACATCCACACTGCAATCGCATTCTTACAAAACTAAATTGAAAGAATGCAGGGGTATTTTCGACATTGGTAATCCTCAAGTTACAAGGAAGAACGCCTTTTTCGAAAGAGCTTTTTCAAAAAAAGGCGTGTGTGGACGCATAACAGGAACGTTTTTCAAAAGACGAGCCAATCGAAAAAAGCACAGGTGCCCTGGTGGCCATTCTGTGAATAGCAATCAGGGCTTTCTTTCGATTTTTTGATCCAGTTTTGAGGTGTGGATGCTCTCTTTCAAAAGAAGCTTGCATTCTTGACATACCCCGAGTCTTTATTTATCTCCTCAAACAACAAACTGAACACTTGTACCCGACGGTCAGATTTCCACCCACTTGGCAGACAGTATGTCTTGTCTCTAATAGGGATGTTAAGTAATTTGTTAATCATGTACTCAACAAAAATTTTGACTACACGATAAATCGATAAGGGTTAGCAGTGAAAGCACTCACTCCTGGCTCGGGCTGGGTCCCAGCACTCACCCCGCTGCAGCTCTGTATTATTAGTAGACTGGGAAGCCCGCATACAGGCAGGCTGGCTCAGTCCTGCATCACGCCAGGTCCCAGCATAAATCCCTGCTGCAGCTCTGCATTATTATAGGACTGGGGACCCAGCATGAGCCGGGACTGAGCCAGCCTGCCTGCACACTGCCTCTCCAGTCCACTAATAATGCAGAGCTGCAGCAGGAAGCCCAGGATTGAGCTAGCCTGTTGGCCAGTCTGTTAAAAAAATATATATATTTGCAGAGCCACAGGGAGGAGGGGGAGGAATGCATGTAGCCGATAACGTTAACTGATAAGCTCCCGCTTTTTGGTTAATTGTTTATTCGATTACACTATTCCATTCCTAGCCTCCAACCATTTTTTTTTCATTTTTGGGTTACTTTAATTATAGCAATGAAGTTAGTTACCAAGTAATACAGCATAGAAACAGAAAGATCTAGTTAACGATCACATAGTCAGAAGTTGCATATCATCTTTTAAAGTTTCTTTAAAGAAACTTAAAAAAACCCATGAGCTTCTGCATTATCTGGCACGATAATAGACTATAAAATCAAGAGGGAAAATATTTGGGCTTATCTGAATATTTTAAGTACATTCTGCACTGATTATGAACAATCAATTAATTGAAATATTTTAGTTTAAACCAAATATTTACCACATCTAAATTAAAACATGTCAAAATCTTATGTCATATTATATAAACTCAAATACTTATTATCTTAATTAATGGCTAGTTAGTTTATTCCTCATCTGAAATTATTCAGTATTCAAAATACAGTCACATATTGGTGGGTAATTACCCCTTAAGTCACCTAAGTAACTAGATGCTTCAGGAATATCTAACTCTTAATTATAATGCAGTAGAAACGTGCTGAATTCCTAGAGTATATAGACTATAAATCAAATGCTGTAAGCAACAATAGATGTACTACAGCAAGTTGACCAAAATATTGATGTATGTTACAATCAGTTAATTACTAATAATGCTGAGATTTAATATAAAGACAAAAAAAACCACTCTCCAACCCCAACACATTATTTAACCAAGATCAAACTACTTACCATTCATGGCTGCGGGAAACTGAGCCATCATGGTCCCGAATACGCCTTGCTAGCTTTCAGCCATCTACAACATAAAAACATTGTCTCATTAATAATGCAACAAGGGCAGAATGCAGCTTAGTACTCCTGCTGAGCAGAGGGAATGTGTGTCCTTCTTGGTTCCTGATACAGAACAAACTGAATTTACATTTCGAAGTAGGTGTGAGATTTCTGTAGATGGGTGATTTTTTTTGTTTGTTATGCATTGCAGTCTGGAACCTAGAAGCACATTTTAAAAGATAAATGGTATTCATCGTACTGCATAAAACACACAAATTACCACCACTACACTGAAACATATACTGTTCAGAATAATCCTTTACTGGAAGGAGAAACAACCTAAAAGATTTTTTGCAACTTGAACTTCTATGATTTACATTAATATTTATCAAAATTAAAATGATAGTTGTCATACTTGAAAATAATACTGCTGTTAAAAAGAATAATAATGAAATTCAATAGTTCAAATACTGGATAAATAACTTTCCACAGAACTTACAAAAGCATAATTATTGGAAATGACCTTGCATACTGTAGTCTGTAAAATAACTAGCTCTCACCAGGGATGGGAAACCTAATGCCCGGGGATTGAATGTGGCCTCCAGTTTGCCTGGATCTGGCCTACAAGGCTTAGGGCTTCCCCTCCCCCCAGCATTGGGGAGCCTGCACTGGCACTCCAGCTCCTCCTCCCCAGACCTTCATGGGGCTGGAGCACACAAAATCTACTAGCTTGAGCCCCCCTAGACTCTGGTGTGTGAGGGAAATATGGGGAATGTCTTTCTTCTACTTAGTTGGGGGGAGGCACATCAGTGAGGGTTTGTTATTGTTTTTTTGCTTCTCACTTGTGTGCAGCCCCTGGTTGGTTTTTCTATGGGTCAGCGGCCCATGACCCAAAAAATGTTCCCTACCCCTTTCTAATCAAACCATGCAGCAGTCTATTGTCCAGCATATGAAACTACATATTATTATAACATCAATTATTTTTGTTATGGTATCAAGAACAAAAAGTGGTATCAGAGGGGTTCTTACTATAGCATACTTTCAGAATAAGAAATGTTAAAATGCTGTGTCTCAGATTGCAAGAGTATTTAACATTTTATTTATTATGTTTTTATCTTTATATTTTCAAAACAGTAACTAATACTCAAAACATTCTGCAAATGAAAGCATTGTCTCTATTTTATAGATCGGTAACATTCAAAGGATTAAGACAACATACACAGGGCATTGCTTCAGATACAATTCATTTTGATATGGAAAATGACATAGATCATAACACCCCACAATATAATTTTAAAGGCAGAAACTACCATTCACTAAAGAGCCAGAAAAAATCTAAACCTGGAAATATTTTGTAGCAGTTGTACATATGATGTGAAATTCTTCATAACAAAGTGGCTTTTTTAATATGAAATAATACAATCACAAATTTGAGAATGGAGTGGTTGCAGGGGGGCAGAAGGGAAACTCATGAAACAACACCAGCCAAGAATAGCAGAGTCCTGCAGTATAGTTACTCATCACCCCAGGGTTCTAATGCTTTTAACATTCTAATTTCTGTATCACATTTCTGATAACTATTATGCGCGCTCCCCCCTTCAGTGATAAAAAATACCTGTTTAAATACATTTTAAAAAATATGAAAGGTACAGAAACATTTTTTTCTCAATAGCATTGCTTACTTTAGCATGGTTGACTCTTTTATTGATTACAAGAAACCAGAAGCATTCAAACAATTTCCTTGCAGAGTGTAGAGCATTTACACTACACTTATACACTAAATAGAAAATGTTAGGAATCATTCTGTACCAGTACTCTACAAGTATATTCTTATACAATATTTACAATATAAGCTACATAATGAATTTAGATAAAGAATTTACCCTCATTGGTTGGTTTGTGCACTGCATAGCCATATTTATACTATTATAGATCATCCATCCCTAAATGAGTGAAAACCAATGCTTCAATCTAAAGTTAATCCATTATATACTGCTTATATAACTGCCCAGTGAGTAAAGAACTGCACAGTACAACTAGTTGTTATATAACCCTTTTAATAGTAGTATCACAAGATACTTTATATTCTGTTTTTAACACAAAGTGTGCTAGCAGGGATCAGGTGAAGAAAAACCACCAGAAGACAAAAGAAAAGTGAAAACTTTTCCAAGAGGATAAAAAAAATAAAATGAATTTGTATATTTTTAGTTTGCCTCCAATGTCTCTTTGTCCTAAAAATGAAATAACAAAGGACACTTGCTCCCTGTTTATAATTTTCCAGCTGAACATTTGCAGTGTTCTTAAGCACCTACAGAACATGAAGTTCTATAAAACAAGCTACACTTTTAAGAACTCTAGAAAAGAACTGTAAGGTGAGATAGGCTGCAATGGAATGAGTGTGTGAAGAGCCCACCTGGAATTAATGGGGTAAAATACAATAGGGATCTGCAAGGGCAGAAGGATCAGTCTTTATCAGAAGGGGGCAAACTAAAACCCGAGGTTCATATCCAGTCTGCAAGACCCTTCTATCTGGCCCCCAAGCTCCTGCCCAGGATGGCTAGTCCCTGACTCCTCCCCTTCTGTTCCTCTTATCCCATAGCCTGAGCTCACCACAATGCCAGGGGTGAGGAGTGGGGGTGCTTCAGAATTTTTTAAATGGCCCCAGGCTGTCCCAGAGGGGGTTGGGCCAGGACACTTCCGTACTTCCCCACCCACAGGCCCTGACTGGCCTGGGGTGAAGGAGTGATGAAGTCTTTGTTGTCCCCCGCCTCAGGAGAACTGCCAGCTGTTCTGAACGGCTGGCGAATCCCTCTAGGTGCCTGCATGAGGAGACTTTGCATGCTTCCTGGCCCATAGGTCAATCAAAGTCTGGGGGCAAGCAAGAGCATGGGAAGTCTCTTGATCCCTGCTCCGGCTCTGCAAAGGGGCACCATGCTTACAGGGTTGACTCTAAGTGTCGTGTGCCCCTGGCAAGGCAGGAGACTTTGTGCACTCCCCTGTCCCCAGGCCCTGATTGGCCTGGGGCGGGGGGAATAGCAGGATGTCTGTGGGCTAGATAAACCTGCTTGGTGGGCTGGATTCAGCCCGTGGAAGCCCTTTTGCCTACCCCTTCTCTAGGTGGTGCAGTTGTGAGCTTCAGCAAAGTGGCACAGCAAGCCCTACTGCTACAAGTGGCATTGTCAGGAGGTGGAGAAAAGAGGGAGTGGGACGGAGAGTTGTGGAGGGATGGTGACTAGTCGAGCTAGTTCTTACATCCTTACTTCTTGTGTATAATAGCTCCATTACAGCCAGGCTGCCAAGGGGTTGTCTGACATAAATGCTTCTAAGCGCAATACACATTTATCTTTGGTCTCTATTAACGTTTGTTCTTCATTTTATTTATTTGCCTGAATTATTGCTGAGGCCCCAGTGTTCCTCAGGAATCTGAAGGGGACAGGGATAATTCACTGCAGCCCAAATAGTTCTACCACCCCCACATTTCCAAAGAGACCACTCACAGAGCCAAATTCCTCAGATACAAAGAATGTGCTTGCCATCCAAAAAACCCCCCAAAAAACCTCCCACTATATGCAGGCAGTTTCCCTAAAATGTGGATATTACTCCAGAAATCAAAGTGGATCTTTCACAAATTCTGAGTCTGGTAATCCATCTGTCACCATTAACTACATCCTAGAATCCTTCACAATACAGCAGTTCCTCTTCTTCTCAGTTGATGGTGAATTCCAGTGAAATACACTAAAAATACACAGGATTTTCTCAATTAAAAATTACTCTAGATAACTGTTAAATTATAACAAAACTTGGAAATTTCCAAAGAACACTTTACAGAATATCACAGATGGATCTGTAATAAAATATGCCAAACAAACAAAAGAATCCCTAATCAGAAGAGATTATAATCAAATCACAAGCAAGTTATAACAAACAGAAGAGAAAATGACCTTCACAACTGGAATATTCCACACAAAGTCAGGTTTGCTTTAAGTGTTTTGGAAGAAGGAATTTTGTTTGGCGAACATTAACTCTTAAGTGCTCTAAGCATGGAGTATAAAATATGGAGCAGCTGGTTAAAGGACATGTCTTGACAAACAAAGTCATGAACTCTCTCACACCAGTAAAGAGTGAAGACTGCCATCAAACCAAAGTTTGAAGCTTACAATAACTGTAATCCAACTTACGCACCTTTTGATTAGAAGTTTAATGTCTTTGACATAAGGCATCACACATAATGAAAACAGGAAGCTGAAGTTAGTAGTTAACAGAACTCATTCTTGTAAATAGACCACCTGACCAACCATAAAGTTTACAGTAGCAATTCTGTTTTCTCAGTCTAATCTACCCAACTGCAGTTTCTTTGGAGGAGTGAAATGAGAAAATGAAGAGGAAAGTGAAGGAGAAAAGAGGTAAGAAAAAAAGCTAGAATTAAAATAAGAAAAAAAAAGTACTTTTTACACTCAAAATATTTTTACTTGTTCTTATGCTATGTGAAACTTACATAGCATAGGCTTTTCTAATATTTAATTTCTATTGACTCATATACAAATATTTTCAAGAAAAAAATAGCATAATACCTGCTATTAAGCAGGAATAGAGTTAGGTCACATCAGTTCATTTCTAATCAGGTTGATAAATATTCTAGAAGCCATGTGTTCAGACACCCAGCTCCTAAAAGAACAACATAACTGAAGGGGGAAAATGGACAGTGCAGTATCAATCAGCAAGAACACAAACGCCAGGGGCTGCCATTTAACTGATTTACATAGGAAACACAATGGCTATGTCTAGACTGGAATGATTTTCCGCAAATGCTTTTAACGGAAAAGTTTTTCCGTTAAAAGCATTTGTGGAAAAGAGCATCTAGATTGGCACGGACGCTTTTGCGCAAAAGCACTTTTTGCGGAAAAGCGTCCGTGCCAATCTAGAGGCGGTTTTGCGCAAGAAAGCCCTGATCGCCATTTTCGCCATCGGGGCTTTTTTGCACAAAACGGTTCTCAGCTGTCTACACTGGCCGTCCTGCGCAAAAGC